TGCCTGATCCCTCCTACTGCCACTCCCCTGCTGCTCTGCACGCTAGCCTGGGAGCATTCAGGGGCCCGTGGTCTTGTTTTCTATCCCAGTGCTAAAAAGGCTCTGCTCATTCACGACTCTGCTGTTTCTAAAGGAGCATGGTACTTTCAAGGCCTTTGAAAACCATGCCTATGTCATTTGTGATCACTGAATCACAGACAGGATTCCAAATGGACATGAGAGATCAGAGACTCGTCCAGGCGCAGTGGCTCATTCCTGTAATTCCAAGCACTTTGGGAGGCTGAGGCAGGTGGATCACTTGAAGGCAGGAGTTCAAGACCTGCAACATGGTGAAACCCCTTCTGTACATAGAATAATAATAAAAATAATTTTTAAAAAAGAGTTCAGCCTCATCAGGATATAAGTCCCAGCTCTCGCTCTCCTCTTCATTAGCCACGTGATCCTGGATGAGTTTCTTAACTTCCCTGCAACTCAGTTTTCTTATTTGTAATGCGGGTATAGTAACAGTCCCTAGTTAGGCCAGGCAAGGTGGCTCATGCCTATAATCCCAGCACTTTGGGAGGCAGTGGTGGGCAGATCACCTGAGGTCAGGAGTTCGAGACCAGCCTGACCAATATGGAGAAACCCCATCTCTACTAAAAAAATAAATAAATAAATAACACAACATTAGCTGGGTGTGGTGGCACATGCCTGTAATCCCAGCTACTTGGGAGGCTGAGGCAGGAAAATCACTTGAACCCAGGAGGTGGAGGTTGCTGTGAGCCGAGATCATACCATTGTACTCCAGCCTGGACAACGAGCAAAACCCCGTCTTAAAAAAAAAAAAAATCCCTAATTTACAAGATTTACAGGATTACTGAAAATACTCAATTTAAGAAAAACTAAATTAAACAAATACTAATTTATTAAATCACTTAGTGAGTGCCTGCATTTAGTTGACACTCAAGAGTGTTAGCTATTATTAAACCATATTCAAGGTGGCTCATGCCTGTAATCCTAGCACTTTTGAAGGCCCAGGCAGGCAGATCATCTGAGGTCTGGAGTTTGAGACCAGCCTGGCCAACATGGCAAAATCCCATCCCTAATAAAAATACAAAAATTAGTCAGATGTGGTGGCGTATGCCTGTAGTCCCAGCTACTCAGGAGGCTGAGGCAGGAGAATCACTTGAACCTAGGAGGCAGAGGTTGCAATGAGTCAAGATCCCTCCATTGCACTCCAGCCTGGGCAACAGAGTGAGACTCCATCTCAAAAAACAAAACAGGCCAGGCGCGGTGGCTCACGCCTGCAATCCTAGCACTTTGGGAGGCCGAGGTGGGTGGATCACCTGAGGTCAGGAGTTCAAGACCAGTCTGGCCATCATGTTGAAACCCCATCTTTAAAAAAAAAACAGTATCTGAAATACTTAAGACATAGTCATTGTGAGACACAGCCCTGATTTAAGAGATGTTAAAATGGTATAATTCACCCAACAGAAAAAGGGTTCCAAAGCCAAAGATGTTAGGGAGGCACCTTTCCCGTGAGATGTTTCAGAGCTTTTAAAGGGTGCCTTTCAATGTGTGCTCAAGGTAGTTAGCACATTCGATAAGAACTCAGACTGAGTAGACAACGGAAGCTCTTTTCCATGAAATAGCTCAAGAGTTCTGTGACATCGGTTTGGGGAGTGCTAATCTAGTCCTATACTCTAATTTCATAGATGGGGGAACTGAGGCCAGAGAGAGGAGGAGACTTCCTGAAGTTACTTAGGGGGTTAAGTGGTGAAGATTAGGCTACTGAACAGCGGAACTAGAGCTCCCTCCACTAACCCGCCTTTCCTCCCAGCTAACCTGTTACCTACAACACTTGGTAGTTTCCAAAGACCTTCCTGCTGTGTGCTCACACTAACCCCCAGGGATCCCAGGGAAGGGACTGTCCCCACTGTACAGATGCAGTTGCCAGCCCACTGAGCAATGGGGTAGAAGCAGGACCCAGGTCTGAATCCTGGACTTCCTGCTGAGTTTTTTTAATACTTGAAAAACCGTGACTCGGAGAGGAGGAGGTACATGACTGGGAGTGAGCAGGTGAGCCAGAAGGGCTCAAAAAGCGTGGGTCAAGAGGTGGTCCCAGTGCCGAAGAGGGCCAAAACAGGCAGAGTTCACCTCCTGAAGCAGTCTTGCTAGGTCAGCCTCAGCTTCTGCCCTGATAGGCAGAGACAGAGACCACCCGCTAGGTACCCTACCAATCTGTGATAATGCATCAGGGTGGGGGAGGGACCAGAGCTGCTGTTCAAGGCTCTCATTTCACACCTGCCCACATGCAGAGCCTCGTGGACCAGAGGGCAGACCTCCAGCTTCAGCATTATTGCACCGCTCAGGAACATCTACAGGGACCTGCTGTGCAAACTTCAGACCACGTTGATGAAATCCACTGGGAAGTCTTTTCATCACAGCAGTTAATCTGATGACTGCTTTGTTTTAAGAGCAGTCTTTGTTTCGCTGGCTAAAGTGACTTACTATGGGGGTTGTTAGGCAATTCATCAACGTCTAAATCTCGATATGTTTGTGGTCAAACATGACTGTTCTCACAGACGGAGCGACGCTCAGCCTTTTCCCCTCTGAGACACACATGATGGATGACATTTGCTCACTTGCTTGACCCAACCCCAGTAGGAACAGACTTACTTGGATTCATACAAATTTCTTAAAATGGCAATGTCAAGTGTTGGTAAGGGTGTGGAAAAAGCTAACTTTTATGCATTGTTGGTGGGAGTGTAAACTGATATAGACCTAACAGAGAACAACTTGGCAGCATCTGATGAAATGGAACATTTAATTTCAATTACATTCCCTATAAGCCTACAATTCCATATACCCATGAGAAGTTCAGTGTGCACACAAGCAAACATATCCAAGGATGTTCACTGCAGATGTTGGTAATTATGCAGAACTGGAAACAACTCAGAAGTCCGCCGATAGGAGAATGATGAGGTAAAATGTGGCATAATTTTACAATGGAATATTTCACAGCAATTAAAAGGAATTAATTAAAGCTGTTTGTGTCATTATGGATAGATCTCAAATGTACTGTTGAGTGAAAACAGAACTGTATCATGCAAAATTAAAATTCTGTTTATGGCTGGGCATGGTGGCTCATGCCTGTAATCCCAGTACTTTAGGAGGCCAAGGCAGGCAGATCACCTGAGATCAGGAGTTCAAGATCAGCCTGGTCAAAGTGGCATATATATATATATATATATATATATATATATATATATATATTTTTTTTTTTTTTTTTTTTTTTTTTTTTGAGAAGGAGTCTTGCTCTGTCTCCCAGGTTGGAGTACAGTGGCGCAATCTTGGCTCACCGCAACTGAAGCGGGAGTCTCCTGCTTCAGCCTCCTGAGTAGCTTGGATTACAGGCGCCTGCCACCCCACTCAGTTAATTTTTGTATTTTTAGTAGCGATGGGGTTTCACAATGTTGGCCAGGCTGGTTTCAAACTCCTGACCTCGTGATCCACCCCCCTCGGCCTCCCAAAGTGCTGGGATTACAAGTGTGAGCCACTGCATCCAGCCTATGTGTTTTCAAACAAAAATCAGCTCTGTGTATTTATCGTTGATTAATATAAATTTATAAAGTTGAAAGCATGAAACACACTGGAAGGATATGTACTCTATTCATGATAGTGATCGTCCCTGAGAAGGGAACAGAGTGGAGCTGGGGTGGGAAGATTGCTTGAGCCCAGAAAGCAAAGGTTTCAGTGAGCTGACATCATGCCACTGCCTGGGTGAGAGAGTGAGACCCTGTCTTGAGGCAAAAAACAAGGAGTGAAATGGGTCTGAAGGACAAAGGAGTCGTATTTAATGCTTTCTCTGTGAGGTTGTGTCATGTCAGACATGGCCGATGCATCTCCCAGACTCTCTTGGTCTCACTTGTCTCCTGAACCCTTGACCACTGGCTCTGCCTCAGCCACTACCACGACAGCCAGCTCTCTGCAGGTCTATGTGGCTGCACGGGAGGCTGATGAGCCGTATGACCAGAGTCTCGGGTTCTTCCCATAATTTCTAGACTTGAATGAAACACTCTGCGTCAAGGTCTGAGATCTGGCTTCCCCAAGGGGCCAGGTATAACGCAGTCATTCTCAACCGGAGTGATTTTCCCTCACAGGGGATGTTTGGCAATGTCTAGAGATGTTTTTGGTTGCTACACCTGGGTAACAGGTGCTACTGGCATCCAGTGGATACAGGTCGGGGATGCTGCTAAACACAGAACAGTCCCTTCAACAGAGAGTCATTCATCTGGTACTAAATGTCTGTAGTGCTGAGACTGAGAAACTCTGCTGCAGTAATTAAGAAAAAGACTCTCGCCAGGCGCGGTGGCTCATGCCTGTAATCCCAGCACTTTGGGAGGCTGAGGCGGGCGGATCACCTGAGGTTGGGAGTTGGAGACCAGCCTGACCAACATGGCGAAACCCTGCCTCTACTTAAAATACAAAGATCAGCTAGGCACGGCAGTGCGCGCCTGTAATCTCAGCTACACAGGAGGGTGAGGCAGGAGAATGGCTTGAACCTGGGAGGCAGAGGTTGCAATGAGCAGAGATCGTGCCACTGAACTCCAGCCTGGGTGACAGAGCAAGACTCAGTCTCATAAATAAATAAATAAATAAATCACACTTGGACATTTTCACATTTTGAATCTCTGAACGAAGGATGCGTCTTGCAATCATGGTTGGCATGTGGACATCAGATACAGCTGTCACACATATATAAACCTTGGGGAGGCTGGCTGATTTGTGAGGAAAGCCTGGAGACAATAGGAAAGAGCCCTTATAAGAAATGGTGCGTGATGGCCGGGCGCGGTGGCTCACGCCTGTAATCCCAGCACTTTGGGAGGCTGAGGTGGGCAGATCACCTGAGGTCAGGAGTTCGAGACCAGCCTGACCAATATGGTGAAACCCCATCTTTAAAAGAAAAAAAGGCCTGCCGTTTCCATGGAGAGAGGCTGAGGCAGCCGAGCTTCGGGCGGAGGCACCAGGGCGCTGGGACGGCAAAGATGTCGGCTTCCTTAGTCCCGGCAACTGTCCCGGCTGTGAGCAAGAGGAAGCTACAGCCCACCCGGGCTACTCTCACCCTGACACCTGCAGCCGTAAACAAGATAAAGCAGCTTCTTAAAGATAAACCTGAGCATGTAGGTGTAAAAGGTGGTGTCCGAACCAGGGGCTGTAATGGCCTTTCTTATACTCCAGAATATACAAAGACAAAAGGAGATTCTGAGGAAGAAGTTATTCAAGATGGAGTCAGAGTATTCATTGAAAAGAAAGCACAGCTAACACTTTTAGGAATAGAAATGGACTATGTTGAAGACAAATTATCCAGTGAGTTTGTGTTCAATAACCCAAACATCAAAGGAACTTGTGGCTGTGGAGGAAGCTTTCATATTTGAAATCTCAGGACTCTTCTGGCTGGAGGTTCCAGGAAAGCTGGTGGAAGCCTTGGGGCTCACTGCATAAATCACGTGACAGTCACATGCTTAATGTATGGCTGCCTTGTAAGAAAAATAAAGTGATGCATTTTGAAAATGAAGCCAATGTTAGATCCAGAAGAAATAATCTTTATATTCTCTGTAGGGAAGAGAAAATGAGAAGCCATCACTGTCTTTGGATCATTTAGATCTCTTGCATCCTTTGTTTTAGAACCAGTTTTATTAATTGACTTCCTGGGCACCTGTTCCTTCATTTCCTGAACCGTGTGCTTAGACCTCTATTGAATGGCTTGAACATGCTTCTCCCTCAGCATTTCTCCCAACCAGATAAGTTGTTGGGGTCCGGCACGTCTGCCGGGGGACTACCGACCTGCAGGAGTCCCCAAGACCGCCAACATAGATGTCTCGTTCAACCTGAGGGAGAGAGTGCGCGGAAGTGAAAGAAAATGGAAGTGAAAGAAAATAGAAAAGCGGAGTCTGGAGGGCTGGCTTAGGCTACGTCCAAGCAGCAATTTTATTTTTGCAATGTTTCCTTATATACTTTTCTGAAGTCAAAGTTGTTTACACCAGATCAACGTACTTAAGTTACAGTAAGCAAGTTACCCCACTAAGTTATGCCCAGTAAGTAAGTTAATCCCATTAAGTAGGTTACGCCCAGTAAGTAGGTTACTTTCAGTAATTAGGTTACGCCCAATAGATCAATGTAAGTAAGTTACAGTCACGCCCTGTAAGCTATGGTAAGTAAGTTATAGTTACACCCAGTAAGTTACGGTAAGTAAGTTACCAAGTGTAAATACTTAAGTTAATATTTTACAATGAAGGTAACAAGGGTCCAAAATGAACACAATCAAGCAATAAACCATAAGAAGCCGAAAGTGGACACATTGACTCCCAAGTCTTCATATTCATAAAGTAATGTCTGTTAACTATTTAGAATAACATAGTCCCTCTCTCAGTTCCTGCTTTCCCTCAGCTCGACTCCCCCAACCGGGGATCTGTGTCCGGGCTCAAGCTCACCGTATGGCGAGGCCCATTTCCCAGGGGCCTCACACGGGAGTGATCCCCACAGATTCCCTCAATAAGTGACTCCTAAAATCAGAGACAGGACATCCTGACTGCTGGTAATAACGTGGTGGTGCATTGTTTCTTCCACCCAAACTTAACATAGACTCTTTATGCATTTTCATCAAAAATTTCATTGTCAGATGCCTCGTTGTGTACCCTTTAATAGTACCGGGCAAAGATTTTCTTCAACTATAGTACAGATTAGTTCTGAATGTGGCATCTTAAGGTGAGAAAGACGTCATCCACCTGTTTTTTAATCCATTTCTTTTGCCACCCTATTTGTCTGCTCAGAGGTGGGATCTCGGGCTGCCTTTGATTCTTCTAGTTGAGGGGTCTCTTAAAGCCATCTAGCCCATCTCCCTCAGTTCCCTATGTGAGGAAGCAAAACCCCAGGGGAAGCCAAACGGCTCCTGTCCACCCCATTCCACAGGCCGGGGGAGAGCAGGGACTCTACCCCCACCTTCCCTTCCTTGTAGGTGACACATGCTCTGCCCTCTGAGGCAATGGGTAAAGGCAAATGATCTGACTTCTTTATCTGGTTGACATTTTGATAGAATTTCTTTATAATTTGATGGAGATCATATTATTTTTATTTGATTTTATTTTGAGTGGGAAGAATTTAAAAACCCTTTTATGTGAATTACCACCTTGTTTCTTTACCTTACAAACAGTGGTTTGTAGCAGAGAAGACACTATAGCAGCACAGAATTGTGCTTTTGGAATGTGGTCCTCATTGTGCAGGAGAACATAAGGATCTTTTCTTAAAATTCCCAGTGTGCATATACTTTCTGGTTCCTCAGTCTGGTTGCTAAAGTTCTTAATATTTTAGCCTAACATTTTTATTACCAACTTTTCTTTAAACATGTTCTTTTTGTGACTTAGTTACTGATTTTCCTGGATCTGACATATTGAGTATTCTATGAGATGACATCAATGCTTTTTTTTGAAAGCTGATTCTCATTAATTCAAGTAGCTGAGTTCCTTATGTTTCTTTTATTCACTAAAGTAGCTGGCGTAAAACATGCCAAAACCTAGAGTGGTATTTTGATGTAAATGCTCATGAGTTTGTATCAATAATATAATCGTTGACCCACTTACAATTTGTGCAATACTGTATGTATGTAGAGATTGAGTTGTCAATTAAAAAAAAAAGTGGCCTCTTTGTGATGATAAAAAAAAAGAAAGAAAGAAATGGTGCATCGCTTACACACTGTTGATGGCTTGGAGGGTGATACTGATGGTAGCAGGGGTCCTCCGGAGCAGCCGTTGTGCCAGACACTGCAGAGAGGGTACTGGGAGGAGGCGGTCGCCCTCCCAACCCCCACCACTGCAGCCCACTGCCCTGATGGGCGATGAGGCCAGGCCAGGTCACCTGGTGGTGGGGGAGTAGCACCTTCTGGCAGAGAGGGGCCGGGAGAGGGAGCTGGGTCTGGGCGGTGCTGCACTCGAGCAAGGATGTAGGGACTGGGCAGGGAGCACCGAGCTGGGGCCCTGGTTTAGGGACCTGGGGCTGGAAGTGGGAGGGGCGCTGAGTCCCTGGGGTCTGCCCTGCCTCAGGGTGACAACTGAGCCTGACACTCTTGTTGGCTGGGCTGACCCTGAGCACCGGGGCAACATGGAGGAGCTTGTGGCCATGTCATCTCTGTCCTGGATGCTCATGGGGGCCCAGCAAGGACGTGAGGGAGGGTCCTCCAGGCTGTGAGGGGAGGCGGGTGGGGCTGCATGCACCACAGAGCCGGCAGGACTGGGAGCAGGCAGCAGCCCAGCCCTCCCAAGTGCAGCTGCCGCTGCCCAAGTGGGTTTGTGGACCCAGGCCTCTGTGTGTTCTTGGGGGCCTGGGAAGGCCCCACACTGCCCTTGCAGGCGGGCAAGTGCTTCCTTCCACTGCCTGGCCTCTCCCCACTGCTGGTACCTGCTCCAATCCCAGAGTGAGGTTGGGCCTGTTGCCTTGGTCCCCTCTGGACTTTGGACAATGAGGGGGGATCGAGGGGCTGAGGGTGGCTCAGTGCTGGCTGGAAGGTGCCCCTTGGCAAAATCAGCCTGGATGCCATGGTCAGTGCAGCAGGCAGATGGGCTCCTGGGTGGGGGAGGGGGACAGGGCCCCAGTGAAGCTCCACTTTGAGGCCTGGGAGGGTCTGAAGGTTGGGGGCTGGGCTGCCAATCCCACAGACCAGAGTGGGTACTAGTGGTGTCTTTTCCATCCTGTCTGTGGCCATGGACCAATTGGTGCTTACTTCCTCCCCTCTGGGATCCATAAAAACCCCAGACTCAGCCAGAGCACAGCAGAGGACACAGGGGTGATTGGACTACCAGCTGGAGAGAGGAGGTACCCTCTCAGCTGAGAGCTGCAGAGGGGATGACCAGCTGCAGAGAGAAGCTATCCTCTCTGCTAGGGGCAGAATACCCCTCTGGACACCCTGGCTACAGAGCAGGGTCTTCTCTGAGTTGTTATCTTGCTCAATAAAGTGCCCCTTTGTCTTGCTCACCCTCCACTTCTCTGACTATGTCATTCTTGGTTGCAGGACAAGAATGTAGGACTGTAGGTCAAGAACTCAGGACCCACACAACAGGAGGCTCAAAGAGCTGCTGTAACACAAACAAGTCTGAAACATGCCCCTTGCTTCCCACGTTGCAGGCAAAGAGCTGTGACCCCTTGGGGAGTCCAGACCTGGGAGCTCCCTGAGCCAAGGCTGTTACTCCCTCTTTGGGGCCCTGTGGTTCCTGGCATCTCCAAGTTTCAAGGTGCTGCCATATTTCCTGGTGCCAGCTCGGGAAGCTGCTTGCAGTGCACCTGGTCCAGCTGCAGCCTTGCAGAGAGCTGGCACTTATGCCAGCACCTGGAGCTGTCTACCCCATGGCAGCTTGTGTCTGACTGCACCGTGACCGGACCCCATGCTTGCCCAGCTCGCTCACACACCCCTCACTGCTCCATGCCTGACTCCATCTCTCTTGGAGGTGTGGGATCCAGGCCGGTAGTGTGAGCTGAGTGCCACCTTACACTCTGAGTGGGTAGAACGAGCCCAGCAGCCCAAGCAAAACTTGGGCAAAGGTACTATTGGCCACAGGTTTCTCAGAAAAGTGCCCATAAGTTTGCATGCATTGAAGTACAAAGAAAGAAAAAAATGTTTTTTAAACTGATTCAAAAAAGTTGCACCCTTCTGAGGTGAATTTATTCTGTTTACATTTTCCCTTTTACATATGTATAAAAGTGATATTATTAAATATCAACTTGTCACGTTTTTTCTCTCTCTTTTTTTTTATTTTTTGAGATGAAGTCTCACTCTGTCACCCAGGCTGGAGTGCAGTGGTGTGATCTTGGCTCACTGCAACCATCAACTCCCTTGTTGAAGCAATTCTCCTGCCTCAGCCTCACAAGTGGCTGGAATTACAGGTGCCTACCACTGTGCCCAGCTAATTTTTGTAGTTTTAGTAGAGATGGGGTTTCACCATGTTGGCCAGAATGTTCTTGATCTCCTGACCTCGGGATCCGCCTGCCTCGGCCTCCCAAACTGTTGAGATTACAAGCGTAAGCCACTGCACCCGACCAAGTCAGAGCTTTTTGATATATATATTTCTTTTTTTAAAAAATAGAGACGGGATTTCACCATGTTGGCCAGGATGGTCTCGATCTCTTGACCTCATGATCTGCCCGCCTTGGCCTCCCAAAGTGCTGGGGTTACAGGCGTTAGCCACGGCACTCAGCAATATGTATCTTTCTTATCTACAGAGTGATAGTATCCATCTTTTTTAGATAAGAAAAGCTTATGCAGGCCGGGCGCAGTGGCTCAAGCCTGTAATCCCAGCACTTTGGGAGGCCGAGGAGGGCGGATCACCAGGTCAAGAGATCAAGACCATCCTGGCCAACATGGTGAAACCCCGTCTCTACTAAAAATACAAAAATTAGCTAATTTTTGTATTTTTAGTAGAGTGTGGTGTATTTTTAGTAGGGTGTGGTGGTGCGCACCTGTAGTCCCAGCTACTTGGGAGGCTGAGGCAGAAGAATTGCTTGAACCCGGGAGGTGGAGGTTGCAGTGAGCCGAGATTGTGCCACTGTACTCCAGCCTGGCGCCTGGCAACAGAGAGAGACTCTGTCTCAAAAAAAAAAACAACAAAAAGCTTATGCAATAGTTTAATTCACAATGTTTCTTTTTATAATGGTACGTAAAATAATGGCACCTTGCTATTCTTTCCGGAGTCCAAATTAGTTGCACACATTCTCTCATCTAATCCTCTTGACAGCCGTATAATGCATGTGTT